AGCGGCGAGCTCTATACAAAAAGTACCAACTCACCGGCGCATAATTGATAGGTCAATTTCGCAAACCGTACATAATAGAAGCCTTAAGTTGAAATAAATCCCAGTATTTTCCATTGAGAGGCCGGGGCGCTCTCGACGTGCAACTATCAATTTAATTGGGACTCCGCGGGAGGCTCTTTACCTCGCTTAACTTTTCGATTTACATTCAAAACGGTCTTTTAAAAACCAACTCAATAACTAAGGGTCTAAACCCCCGTTTCGTGGCGTACTCTAGATGTCATCCGAGCGGAAAAGTTTGCGGCTTGCGAACGATTGGCGGGTCGCGAGAGGGCGGAGTCCCGGGCTCCGCCCCCGTAGCGCCGCGCATGCTAAACGCGCGTTAAAGCCCGTTTAAGCGGTATTTTGGGCCAAAACCGCAAGAAAATGTACGTAACGTCGGTTAGGAGTAGGGCGTTGCTAAATGAAAAGATTTTCTTGGTTGAGCGGTCTGAACATGGCTGACAGTCGGGGAGAAAGCGCGCGAAAGTGCACCTCGCATTGTATATATCGCTTTCCTAATTAATACAGCAAACAGGATATCATTTACAACAATTATCTAAATTTGTACCGCGAGTGAAATTCGTATTGAAATAGTATTTCATTATTTTAATAAAACTTTGGGACTCTGTTTTTTTATAATGATTTGAAATATATTTAATGTGGAATGCGTACGATTTGAAAGTATAGAATGCAGGACAGTCACAAGTCGTTTCTGATCAAAGACCTACTGGGCGACGTGTTGAGGCCCGGCGCCCCCGGTGCGCCCGGAGCACCCGCTGCACACGCCGCCACCGCAACTCACGGTGAGTAACCAACTAGAAATATGTGAACAAACGAGAGTAGATAGTGAGGTTGTAGATGAAAGCATTATTTTTTAAAATTAATACAAAACTATTGTGATTGATGTAAAGTTTAACTTTACAATAAAAATGTATCCTCGTTAAATTAATGCGTAATTTATACCCTATGAATATTACTAAAATCTATCCGAAAACGAGGAAAATGTGACGACACTGCAAATCTGCCGCTAACTCGTATTGCGGTTCTCTTAATGAAGATAACAAATATTTATATAGTTTTCATTTAAGGCATCTCAGTTAATTTAACGAAAAAAAAATACTGGAGTTATGTATCTCAAAATTTAGACAAATGAAAAGTTAAATAATGTTTAAATACTTTTGGTACATAAATAGATATAACTATTGTCACAAAACCCAATTTAAATTTTGTAAATCATTAACTTTCGTTCGTGCCTCCATTCGTGTGAAATTATAAAATGGTTAAGCGGCCTGTGTTCATCACTATGCTTTTATCGAGCTCCGTGAAATTGTTTAGGTGGCACACTCCAACAAAAATCCATCCATCCACTTAAACTTTCGTAATAATAATGTTAGTACGATTAATCTTACTAATATTGTATATGCGAAATTTTAGATGGATGGATGTTTGTTAGAACTTGTAGCCTAAACTGCTGAACAGATTTCAATGAAATTTGGTTTAGATGTGGAGGATAGTCTAGAAGAACACATAGGTTACTCACTTTTGTTTTTATTAATTCCACGCGGACGGAGTCGCGAGCGAAAGCTAGTAAGAAGTAAAATTTATCAATATAGTACTTATTGCCACTGAAAGATGAGATAAAAATCCGTAGCATGTTTTTTTTTTAATGTCATGACCACCGAGCTTTTGTGTTCGCGTCCGGATAATGATATACGGCAACGAGCATGAGGCCACCAGAATTCCCTGAAATGGCGAAGCAACTGCTGGACATAGACATTCGCAATTGCAGATGCGTTTCGTAACTTTGATTTATGAAGGAGGGGACGCACGGAAGGAGGATATTTCCTCTTCGTATATGATATACACCTCCGTTAAATCCGGGATTGGGACTAAAATTAGGCCTCCGGCACTACATACATTAGACAAAAGGCCGCTTCTTGCTTGCTTGCTGGCTTTCTTCCACTTCACGCTTGTCTTCTGTGTGGTCGTGGTATTTCACCAGACAAACAGACGCATTTGTGCGAAGATGTTAAAGCGGTCTCTACCGTAGTTAAATGTAAGGGATATCGGTATGTTTTTCGGCCAGCGGACGATAATTGTTGCAGCGGAAAATTGAACGATTATAAAAGAAAGTAAAAAAAGTCGTGGTCTAAATAATAATGGAGAAGTATTACGTAAATAAAAATAATAAAAAAAACTCATTACTTGAATAACGAAAAGAGTGAAATACTAAAGAAAAACAAGTAACGGAATGAATTGCTGTTCCTTTTACACCTTATGAAATGTAACCAGGTTTCAATTTACATTTTACATTAATATTTAATGAATGTAATTTGTGACATGAAAACTTCGTAGCGCGTCTCGTAGCACCGTAGCGCTTTCGTAGACTTTTAATTGGACCGAATCTTGAGGAGTGGCGAGTATTTTTTTATTTTTGCTTAGGAGTGAAAGATGTCAATGATATAATAATCTTTATTTCAAATAATAATTCTGTGGACTTTTTAGACTAGAGTTTTTTTAAAAGTTAATAGTTAATTTCGATAATAGTATCAATGTTAAAATTGTAAAGTTTGTTCAACACTTAGACTTTTTTTTATTTAAAAGATGGCAAACGAGCAAGCGACCACCTGAATCCACCGAGATGGAAAGCGACCGCTGCCCATAAACATCTGCAATTGCAGATGCTTACCCTTAATTGACGGAGGAGGGCGCACATGAAAAGGACATTACCCTTTCCTATGCCTCTCCTCCACCGTCAAATCCATTTTTCCTTCCCATCCTTTTCTCTTAAGAAAAGGGTGGAAAGGGAAATGGACTAAAATTGGGCCTCCGGCACCACACTCATCAGACGAAACGCGGAATTGCTTCCACTTCACGTCTGTTTTCTGTGTGGTCGTGGCATTACACCGGGCGAGCCGGCCCATTCGTGCGAAGATGTTAAATCGGGCACTTCCTCTGTTAAACCTATGAATCGGATTTTAGAAATTATTTGGTATCGTAAATAACAAGATAAATAGTTATAAACCGTTTAACATCGCGTTCTAATTTACAAAATCTTTGAAGAACAAAATCTATAAATTGACTGAAGTTACTGAAATTAAAAGATAAAATTTAAACAGATTTTAGTAAGTGGTTACAATATAATTAAAAATGCGTATACATGCATGTATATCAGTGATTATTAGTTACTTTATTTTACGTTTTTTTTTAATCTGATGTAATTAAATTGGGATATGTAAGTTTCAATAAGGTTTCTTTGTTCACATAATTGGACTTTTATTGGAAATTAATTATACTGAGTTCAGTACATCCACATTGCAGTAAGAGTGTTAAATATTTAGATTTGAAAAGTTTAAATGATTTTTAATATTAATTAAATACTAACTGTTGCTCGTGACTTCGCCCGCTTCGCCGTGAAATTAAAAAATATAACCTATGTTCCTCACATATAAATTACCTTTCTAACGGTGAGAGAGTTTTTAAAATCGGCTGAAAAAACTACTGGTTTTTGAGTTATTTCAATACATACAAGAAAAAATAGTTAAATCCTACCTTTTTTTATGATATTAGTTAGTTCAGATTATAACTAAAAGCCCCGTAAATGTGTGAATATTTAGATTCGTTGGATAGTAACTTTAATGGTTATCAATACGCTGAGAAAATTGAAGTCTATCTTGTTTTTCATAAATAGATATATTCCTAACATCTGTAGCATAAATAAAGCAAGTTAAAAAGCTTACGCTATATTTTGGTGGTTCCCCAGTTGTTATTCCATAATAAGAATACAACCCCCCTTCTTTTATCATTTTATACTTACTGACAAATAGGGTAATGATGGCACGTATGTAAGTTTGTTTTTATGTGTATGTAGGTTTGTATGAAAATTCCATTGTGAAAACATACTGACATCCCTTACATTTAACAATGGTAGACCCCGTTTTAACACGCATAAATGCGTCTGTTTGTTCGGTGAAATACCACGACAACACAGAAGACAAACGAGAAGTGGAAGCAAGCCAGCAAGCAAGCAAGAAGCGGCCTTTATTCTAATGTATGTAGTGCCGGAGGCCTAATTTTAGTCCCAATCCCGGATTTAACGGAGAAGTATGTGCACCATATACGAAGAGGAAATATCCTCTTTTAGTGCGTCCCCTCCTTCATAGGTCAAAGTTACGAAATGCATCTACAATTTCGAATGTCTATGTCAGCATTTGTTTTAACTAATAAAGTGTCATTCGATTTGTCTTCTTCAGAGTATCATAAAGTTTATTACATCGACACAAAACACCTACAGTTGAGTTGAGAAATTAAATCATACTAAAAATGCGAAAGTTTGGACTGATTGATGTTTGTTAGAGTTTGTAGCCAAAACGGTTGAACGGATTTCGATGAAATTCGGTATAGTTATAGAGGAGAGTCTGGAAGAACGTATATGCTACTCATTTCTGTTTTTAAATTCCACGCGGACGGCGTCGCGAGCGAAATTTATTACTTATTTTCATTTCTTAGAGCGCGCGCACGCCTTTGACTAAACAACTATCGCACATTGTTTAGTCGCGTTTTCCTATGGGCTTATATGGAGGTATGTACTCTACTTGATTTTTAGTTGTGCAACTAAACAGTTGTATTGGCTGCGAAACAATTGACAATCAATTGTACAATAGTGTGATAGTTTAGTCAATCGTGTGCGCTTTTACTTTATTTCCGATGTGTTCGAGTGTATTCGTCTTTTAGAGTGAGACAGACTGTTTTTTTATATTATGGTTAGGTTCATCATCTTTCTCCTCATCCTACTCCCATAGGGTCAACGGGTTTTTGTCCTCCCTTTTTGATCATGTCACCTTTTACGCAATCGATCTATCTCTTTCTCGGTCAACCTTCACCTATGTACCCTTCCACATTCATAACTAACGTTCTCCTTGTAACATGCGATTCATCCTTATAACATGCCCATGCTAACCTTTTACTCCTTACCTTCTCTATTGGGGCTATTTTCAAACTTCCTCTAATATACTTATTTCGTATCTTATCCATGGTTAGGTTATTATTTCTTAGTGTTCAGGATAGTTTAATATTTTCTTATAAATAATTTAGTAACACACCATTTTAGTTAGACAAATACATAATTCATAACCGGCAGCTAACTAGTCGTATTAAGTGTGTTATGAAAAATGCATAAATATACAGTTAATTTACGTTAGAAGATTGTAAAATTAGGTCCTAATTTATGCACCTACATGCTAAGGGTGCGCGTACACTTGCAAATTGTCGGCTTATTAGCCGCCGCCCGCTCTCAGGCACGTACAGAGCCAGTTGGACGCTGCTTTAAAAGACACAAGTTACTGACGCTTACAAAACAGTTCCCTAATTATATTAACGTAATAGTATTCTTTTATAAGATGGGCAGACGGCAAAAAAACACTGGAGAAATATTTTGAACAAGGAAAGCGTATAATAGACAAGAATGGAAAGAGCTGGTGCAGGCCTATGTGTGACAGGACAAGTGGACAACTAGCCTAGGATAAAAAAAACATATCATAGATAATTCTTTTCTATGTTTAGTTTTAACTACTTTTTAGTCTCGGCAATAAAAGCTTAAAAATAGTATATAGTATTCTAAATAATCATACTAATATTATAAATGCGAAAGTTTTAACGGATGTTTGTTAGAGTTTACCGCCTAAACGGCTGAACAGATTTCGATGAAAGGCAAAATATTTATTTTGTTAAATTACATCTCTTCCAGAATTAATTTTAAATTATAACTAATTTCGCAATTACTCGTCCTGTTGTTTATTTTATCTTACTAATGTTATTAATATTGTAAATGCGAAAGTTTAGATGGATGAATGGATGAATGTATTTTTAATAAACGTCTGAACAGATCTTAATGAAATTTGGCATAGCTGTAGAGCAACGTCTGGAAGAACACGTAGGCTCTTTATTCCATGGCGGGTGGTGTCGCTGGCGAAAGCTAGTAATAAACAACACAGAAAATTAAATGCTAAATTCTATAGTATAGCGGTTCCTATTTAAAATTATCGATAGTTATAATAGGAACTTCTTTTCAAATTTCTACATTTAATTATTTTTTTAATTTCTACATTTTTTGGACATTACCTTTATAGCTAACTAGCTTTCGCCCGCGACTCCATCCGCGTTGAATTAAACAAAAACAAAAGTGAGTAGTTTATGTGTTCTTCCAGACTATGTTCTACATCTATACCAAATTTCATCGAGATCCGTTCAGCAGTTGACGCTACAAACTCTAACAAACATCCATCCATCCGTCTAAACTTCTGCATTTATAATATTAGTATGATAACAAATCTCATTCTAAAAAAAGTGGCACTTTTCAGTTTTTATTGATCCCGTTCAAGTTTCTTAACTTTAAATAACGATATTTACATATAAACACATTAAGTGTTTGGTGTTGGTTTCGATAATTTTCCACAGATGCTATTGTACTATTAAAGCTCGTATCCTATTCTCTTCTATTTTAATTTAGCGAATCCGTTCGGTTCTTTTTAATTGTACTTGCTCTACGTGACTTATAAATTAGAATACATAGATATTACTCTGTCAATACACTTGTAACCTGTTATACCAAAGTATCTACGTGCTCCCTTACCATTCCCGACTTATTAAGACAAGATCGAATGCTACCGGAGAGGTATAACCTCGTTGAAGCCGGGACAAGTCCGCGTCGAGCACGGCATGTAAACAACACGCGCGACAAATTATTGCAGACCCCCGCGGCGAGCATACCATCGACACCCTGTCACCTAATGTACTGCGGATAAACAGATTTGATACTCAAACAAAAATAAAATTAATAGAGATCTAGCCTTGTCGGTTACTAAGTGACAATCTTAAGTACTATTTAGTATTCAAATGTTAAGATTGGAATTTTAATTTTAAATTTTGAAACGAAGGCATTTATCTAAAGTGAAAAGTGATATTGAATCACTTACAAGATTATACTCTAAAATGTGATTAGTGTTTTCATACTACTGAATATGTTAATTCAATACAATACACAATATTGCCGTACGATAGTTTCCGTAATTGATCATTCATTAATACTATCAAGATTAGTAGGGCGTTGTACAGTCGTTAGTCTATTATTATAGGGTTGTCCGCTTTAACAACGAACCCCTAACAATCACTTAAAAGTAATTGCAAGACAAACAGACATTATGCGGCGGTTGTATCAGCCCTGATTGCTTGCAATTATTCTATTTGAAATTTGTAGCGATTGTTGCATTGATATCGTATAGTTAATGACTACTACGCCCTTTTATACTATTAATTTAGGGTCACTACAATCATTAGAAGAGTTTGTTGAAGTCATTGACGTGGAAGTAGCCGTGTTTTTTTTTTAATTTGTTAATATCATTGTACGAATCTATATAGATTTTTGATAAGGTGATCTTTAGAGCGTGTGCACACCTTTGACTAAATTATTGTACAACTGTCCAGTCTTATTTTGATTCTTATGAGTTTACTAGCTGTTCCCATGCGACATCATCCGCATAAAATTATAAAAATTTTATTTTATTGTTTACATTTGTCAAACTATCAATTACAAATGTCAAAATGACATGACATAATTATAACTTTGATTCCTTGATGTTGGCAACTTATGGTCTTTTTCCCACATTAGAGTTTTTATTCAAAATCATTACCCCCTAAGGTTAATGGCGTGAAAATATATAGCCTAAAGCGTGACGTAAGTGCATGGCTATTTATTAAGAAAGGAATTCAAAAATGTGTTGTAAGTGCTGACATCTTATGCAACAAAGAAGTGTGTGTTTACGCTTTATTATAATAGCATACATACAGAGGAGGGGAATTGGCTGCGAAAAAATCGACGATCGCATAACAGTTGTGCAAAAGTTTAGTCAAAGGTGTGCGCTTTTAAGGTGATTTGTTTATAATATGTTTATTCATAATTTATCTTGTTATTTATTCTATTCGTTTTAACGTTTGTTTCAAAGAATTATGCTCGCCATTATAGGTTTCACATACTTTTATGTTTCCTAGTGTTGTTTCAATATTGGTAAATATTGGATAGTTTTAAGTATTTGTAAAATAGTTAATAATGGATGTTAATACAAGTAGCATGAGTTTCTTAGTTTTTTTGCGAGAGACTTACTAACTTACGAAAGAATTACTTAATCACGTTTACATATGTCCGTCCAATTCCGTCTGCGCCGGGATTGCCGTGAATCATTTAGATCCTACCATATCCGCTAAGATGGTCGCTTTTTTGACCGACTTCCCAAAAGAAGGAGGTACTCAATTCGTCTGTATGTATTTTTTATTTTTTTTTTTCGTATCTAATAGGTTCTTAAGAGGGAAAGGTTTATTACTTTTAACACAGTAGAATACTGTTCTTTCTGATATTTCATTACATCTCCTTTTCAATGTAATACAAAAAAAAATTGATTGTCTTGATGTTAAAGTTTTGCTACTTGGTGCAGACCGCTAGTTCGTCTTCTGGACGTAAAAAAATACCTAATATCGTATTTTAGACATTCAAGTATCCCTGTCAATAGACATTCATATATTTACACATTCAGACGTAGAGGGGATAGAGACTTGCAGGGTGCGGGGCGAGGTAAGTCGGCGCGCGACCGCGGCGCGTGCCGGACGTGCGCACGCACAAGAGGCGCCACGCTGCGCTCGAGAGCATATGCACTCTCGCATTCAACGATAATTATCAATAGATTTTTGACTTTGAGTTTTATTGAAGGGATGTTTGTGAAGCGATGCTCCTGAATTAAGTGATTTAAAATATTCTAGGGTCATGTAGTATTGGGGAAGATTTTAAACAACTATTTATTAAGGTGATTGTTGTGGGTCGCCTAATTTTGTCTACCAAGATGTTTAATAAATATGAGGCGTATTTTTCAGTTACAAATTGATGGACTATTAACAAAATATAATACCTACTTAATTTGTAGAGACGTCACCTCTCTTCTACGTACATAAAAGTATAGACATAAAAAAAATGCTGTCATTTAATTCCGTCTTTTCTTTCGTATAAAAGTTATAAAATAAAAGAAATCCGTTATTAATAGTTAAACTGTAGAAGAGGTCAGAAAGTTTAAAGCACCTTGTTAGTTTGGGCTACGGGTCACGACCCACTTAGAAACGAAGTGTGCCCAGCCCTAACCTGTTACAGTTTTAACAAGCATTGAGTGGTAATTATTGTTCACAAGTTTTCTTTACAACTTCCTAATACGCGTGTTGTCTATGCCATTGGGATTATTAAGGGATTGTACAACATTTAAAAACAAATGTAAAAGAATTTTACATTATATAAAGAAAGTGGAAGCTTCCTTTGTCTATTAAATTATTTAAAACAACAACAAAAAAATAAAACCATCGTTTGATAAGACTTCACACTTAACCGCGAGCACAAAAGCGGGCTCAGGCTTACATAAAGACGTCAGTTTTGAAAAAGAACCGGCCATAGAGTTTCCGCTCTAATTAATGCCTGGGGGCGTCCCGCTCTCCAGCGATTCAATACGACGGCCCTGAATGGTGTTTTAGCGCGGGAAAATCTTGTCTGTTTGTGTCTTTTAATTTGCATGAAAATGGCGAGGCGCGTATTCACCACCATTCAGGCAGCGGGTCGCTTTTCATGGTTTTTCCAGCGCCAACTTAGACCGGAGTCGATTACTCGTTGGATTTTCGAAGGGGCGGGACTCGAGTGTTTCTCTCGTTATAACTTTTGCATAAATATTTTTTAGGGTCGGACAAGTAAGCGATCTTAATGTTCTAGCACGGATTTGTCTCCAATAAAGGGTGATTTTCCAGTTCTAAATTAACGGACTTTTCTGCAAAATGTAAACTTGATTTTACAATGTTAGTTAAAATATTCTTAATTTTTACACGTTTTTACGGCATAATTAAATTGATATGGCTCGATGTAAAAAAATGATGTATTTTTAAAGTTAAACATTTTAATTTGTTCCTTTAGGTGCAGTCCATGAAGATGTAGAAAGGGACAGTAGATGTCAGTCTTCCCCCGGCCACAACATAGAGACCTCCGACCTCGAGGATGATATCTCTGTCGGCGACAACCGCAGCGACACCTCCACGCCCAACAACAAAACTAGATACGGTTTCGACGCCGATGCCGATTGTTACCAGAAAAAAATCGATACCGACGATACAGAACGATCCTCTCCAGTCGAGTACAATTTGAATCGATTACAAAACTCGAGTTACAATTCGCCGTTTAAAGATGAAGATAACGAATTCGACAACCGGACGGAGGAGTCGATGAAGTTGTACGACAACGGACTCTTTCATTTGTACAGGACGGAAAGGGACGGAAACAAGGATGAGGCAGGCGATGGATTTATGGGTGGCGGTCTGTCAGAGGGTATCTATGGCCGATCCATGGACCTGTCAAAGAACTCCTTTCAGTCTCAACTGCTGGCTGGATTTGCATCAGTGATGGCCGGCAACTCGCAGAGGGAGTCGCAGGAGTCTGCTGGTAAGATGATTTTCTTAGCTCTGTATTTATGATGGAAGTACATAGATTCCATCCTAAACTTTTCTTACTGTCACAGATCGTCAGCAAGCTAAGTCCTCGACTTCATCTGGTGGTCGAAAGCCGCGTCGCCGGCGCACTGCGTTCACGCACGCGCAGCTTGCCTACCTTGAGCGGAAGTTCCGCTGCCAGAAGTACCTGAGCGTGGCGGACCGCGGGGATGTTGCTGATGCACTTAGCCTTAGCGAGACTCAAGTCAAGACGTGGTACCAGAATCGACGGTATATAGTGTCTTATTCAATAACATGCTCGTTTTGTCGTGTTTTCAGATCCATAAGGTGTTGTGTTTATTGTTCTAGAACAAAATGGAAACGTCAAAACCAGCTCCGTCTTGAGCAGCTGCGGGCGCAGGCGGCGAGCGGCGAGCGGGAGCTACCGCACGCGCTGCCCCTGGCCTGTGCACTGCTGCCGCCTTACCCGCCTTACATGCACTGCCACCTCTAATACCCCAGATCACTTTAGCCTCATCTGGATCAGTCCCATCTGGTGTCTCGTCTAGTTTTATATTAAGTAGTGCCAGCGTTAAACACAAGTAAAGTTTTTGAAATACCTATTTGACAACGCTGCAGTGCCAAAATTAAAGAATAGACTTTCCGTCGGGATTAGTCACAGAAAGAAGTGAAATGTTCCAATATACCATGTGCCATTTTTTTGATCTCATTTTAAATATTTAAGACCAAATATCCGTGCAAATGTATTTCAATGGACAAATGTGCAATACTTTTTTTAGTTTTTAGATTTAAATTATGTACTGTATAATGTATCTTAGGTATAAATGTGAATTTAGATCGTTTATTACATGTAGATTAACTTCTTCAAAAATTGTATTATATTTATTTTGAAAAATCAAAAGATATTACAATTAAATTATTTATTAATCCGTAGATTAATGTTAACGTATACAAAATAGATCTATTAAATACTACAAAAGGAAAGAAAGCTTTTCAATTTTGCCAATTCTCAAAATGTATACATTTCAATTCGTATAAAATTACGCAAATGAGTTGGCGCCATTTGGAGACAGCGCTGCCAACCGCCGGCAATTTGCATCTCTTAGTGACTTGTTAACATCTGCGGCGGCCCCGCAGCCGCTGCAGCGCTGCCACAAACAAGGACATACTCTGTATCGTTAAACGCAAATATGCTTCAATGCGCTGTCTCGCTTCATCTCACTTAAAATTCAAATATGGCGGGGTCCCGGAGTCGCATTATCTGTCAATTTATTCAAACGACATGCTAATTTCGGGACTTTTCACTTTGCAAATTTGTTATTATTTATCATCGTCTTTATTTCAGATTTGAGCAAATGAGAGTTTATTAAAGGGGTCGTGCTGCGAGGTAATTGGGCTGTTTTGATCTGGCAAGGGGTGTGCGCCTCTAATTGAAGTATTTTCCAACGTTTGAAGGGTAGTTATGTCTATGGTCGGGTAGCCGGAGCTGAATGGATTAGTTAGCGAGCTGGCTATGAGTAGATAACGATCTGTCAATGATGCCTCGTGAACTCGCGACCGCGGCGAACGGCGCGGCGGGCGGCGGCGGTCATTTCCCTTTATTAAAAACTGTTTAATTTGATGATACTGCATTTATAAACATAATGATACTTTACTTTTTTACTTACATGTCACTTGTTTGATTTTTCCACATTTTCCTTAGAGAGTAAACCTCCACTATAACCCAAAAATTGAAAAGTAACATTGACCGCAAACAGTTTCGAATAAACATTCATCAATTGTGAACAAAATGTTTACATTTAAAACAAATTAAAATCGTGTTTTGTTTACGCTCCGCTTACCATGGTTATTTCTTTTAAAATTCACTATTTTCATAAATCAAGTACTATAGAGTGAAAATGAACATTTTACTAACGAAGTATTTTCTTTTTCAATTCATGATAAAATTTGTCGATCTCAAAGATGTGGTGTCCGATGAAAAACATGACATTGGAAATGACCGTAGACAAGACACGGTAGACTTTGATACACATAGATCGAATAGAAGGTTCGAGAAAGAGGATGACGAGGAGTGGCATGTAGCTCATTTAAAGAATAGAAATAAAGAAGTAAGTAGCAGATGTGAAGCGGAAACATTCCAAGATAGAATCGCTAGATATAAACAATCTATCAGGGAAGATGCGTCATTATTGGAATTTGTGTCGGTTGACGCGATTCCAGTCAATGTGAAGGATCTTGAAGATCCTTGTTTAAATGTAGATGTTGAGAGACGTAATAAAGGTGACAGTGTGATAAACGAAAATATCACTAAAGTAGAATCAAAGGTAAACGTTACCATTGGTGATATAGTTTATAAGCCTGCAACAACAGCGAGTGTTAAAAATGTTTTGACCGCAGATGAAAACAAACCGGAGAAGATAAGACGCAGCGAGTATCAGTTTAGTTCTGTGGAGTACTATGAAGAGACTGCAGATTTTGATCCCGAGAAGTGCCCAGATGTAGTCGAGGTGATCTCACTGCAAGTGGATGATTTGCAGAAGATCGATATAGAGTGTGAGTTGATGATAGAATGGAAGAGTCTGGAATAGAGTACAGTATAAGAAAAAAGTAGTGACAGTAAATCCTCCCCTACCTTAGCCTACTCCCGTAGGGCGCACCGGGTTTTCGTCCTCCAAATAATTTTGTCATCCGCTCATCACTCAACATCATCTCAGTAAATATATAAATAAATTTCATACGAAATTAGACCCGTATATTAAATATCTGGATTTTTTGAGTTTTTATTTTAATCTGGTTAATATTGCATTAAAATTACTTTATGGTTCTTTGACTGTAAAGATGTTTAAGATTTCTAGGCGTCTTCTATGCACATTGTATATTAAATATAAATAGTGTTACGTACACCGAGATGTGGTATTATTAGTCGAGTTATTAAACATTTTGTGTCTTTTAAAATCCGCGTCCTTTTAGTGTTTTCTTACATTCGTTATATTTACTCATATTAAACAGAAACTCGTTATAAAAAATGAAAATAGATTTAAAACTAAAAAGTTATTTGCATGATGTTCTGAAATCATATTTCATTTTCATTGTTCGGTACAGATGCAATGGTTTCGCCATGTTCGATAATGAACTGTGATTTTTAATTTCGCGGTGCTGCTTTACAAATATAACGTACATAGATAGCACAATTCATTTTAATACTTCCGCATTGTCTTATAAATAAATAAACTAATCGTAAATATTAAAGAAACGGAAATTGCAGGATATCTTATTTGGTGTCAAGAAAAATCAACAAAGGTGTGGTCATAGTTCGTGTAAACTTAGTACTCCTAGCGCCATCTGTTAAAATATTAGAATTATATTTTACGGTGTAGTTTGGAATAATGTTCATTTAGTCTTTAGATGGCGCTGTTAACAATACTGCGAAAAGGTTATTAGCGAACAAAATAAATCTTTGTGAAATGTATCAGTTATGGTTAAAGAGATTCAAATAATAATAATATTATTGAAGTGTTTTAGTAAAGTAATTTGTAATTGAGATCATAAAATTCGTGATAATTGTTAAGACTTCATACAGATGGCAGTTTCACATATACACATCATGGATAAACAGCGCCATCTGTTATTTGATTTTTAAAATGAGACGAAAATGAGGGATAAACCTCGTACAGTAAGATTTTCGTTATTTTTTGAATTTCGAACAACATGCACAACTTCGATGCAGTGTCTATGTATGTTCAGAGGACAAAACAGTTTGTCTCATTTTTTCAAAGCAACTTAACCATCTGTGGGAAAGAGATAAATAGAAATAAGGTACAAACGCTTTAAAAATATTCTTATCCAGTTCCTCCTACTCCTTGAGCTTTCCTCTATGTGTACTCTAGTATTCTGATTTCCTAGTATTTGTGACGTCAGGTGCACGTGCACCCCACCGCAGAAAATTAACTGTTAGCACAATTTGGTAATTTTTTCGGACATTCCATTCCGTCATAAATGTAAGAATTCCTTCCTATCGATGTGAATTTATGGGTGAAACACGAGAACGTTTAAAAATCAACTTTGTCTATTCTATTTAAAGTAATAACTTTTTTTTAAATGTCGGCGACAGTGCGGCACACAATAAAACACTTTTATATCAAACAAAACATCTTCAAGCATGTAAATATATATAATATTATTATTTTAAATCTTTATCAATCACATCTTGCACGTTATTACAGTTTTCGTGCCTCTTTTGTTTTTCACTGCAACTTTTTATTTTAAAATAGGCAAATTCTTTATGGCCAGTATGCCACCTCTTTGACTGTATACGAACTACTTGTCAGTTAAAGAGGATTTAAAAAAAATTAACTGTCCATTTTCACAAATGTGCATCTCCTTTTGAAGCGATCGCTTTTCATAAGTGGGGCCCGCATTGTTTTATTACTTTAGCGTTATGATGTACTGGTACACTGCGTATAAGAAACACGTGGCTACACCGACTCGAAAGTATTGAAAAAAAAAGTCTAAAACAAAATCATACTTAAAACTAATATTACACATACGAAAGTTGAGACGGATGGATGGATGTCTGCTATAGTTTGTAGCTTAACCGGCTATTTGGCCTAGAAGTAGAGGATAGTCACAGACTACTTGCTTTTACACTTTACACAGAATACAGCGAATGACAATTGCCCAGCCACGTGTTTCTGGCATAGAATGTACTAAGATACCATAAAAAACCCTAGTGATGGTAAAAATCGTTCTATATAGGTCCCTGCAAAATATATTTGCATATGCTCGTAAGATGTTATTATGAAAACCTTTGTAAACTTCGAAACATTTTTCTTTGATAACGCCTTTTATACTTTTTTTTTGGGCTGTGAGACCATGGACCGTTTAAAGAGTCAGAGTACAGCAGTACTTTTTTATTACAAACCCGAACATTTAGTTCTTTAGATGATTGCTCCAAGATAATTGCGATGATTTGATTATTTTATGTTTTAAAACCTTAATTTTTTTAATAGCTTAATACTTGGATTCACAGAGTTGCTACTGTATTTACGAGGGTCTCTCATTGGTTGTGATCCGGTTGCTAAGCAATTGAGTAACCCCTAACAACGGAATCACAAACACGTGTTTCCGTGAAAAGGGTACCAGGACATCAGAAGGTTCCAGTATATGTTGCGCAATCTCTGTTGCTATGGGAATCATGTATGTGTGGTGGTAAGGATAACAAGAAGGCGGAGAGGCGTGGCCAAGTAATTGGTCGAGGAAGAAACGGGGCCTACCTAAGGTACCCAACATTATGATGTTTCGTTCTAAATACTATGGATAATGTGTTTAATTTAATGTGTCAAATATTTGTCTAATTGGTTTGGTTATGTGGCTTTATTGTGATCTAAAAACTTTACTGTATTTCGGTGACTTACTGATGTTTTGAACACACAAATAAATATATGAAATCACACAAATCGTTTTCTATTATCTGAATCAGAAAAAGATGGAGGA